TTGCCCACCCTTTACCCCCAAGAATATTCCTGGTACTTATTTCTGTTAGAGGCTGAGTCGACCCCAGGGACATAGTGCGGCTGGAAGGATTAGGTCAATTGAAAAAAAAAACACCTCATCTGGATTCGAACCCTCGACCTTTCGACTTGTAACATAGTGCCTCAACCAACTACGCTACCGCGTGCCCCCAATATTTTTTGTATATTGAAATTCAGTACTGAATTGTTGTTGCGTGTTTCTTGCCTCCGTATTACGACAACTTTTTTCTCTGTATTTCATTGTGCACTCTGCGGAGATTTCATTTGTTTCGTGATGTAAGGATGGTTACGTATTGCAGTGTCACGGTCTGTGAAGCCGATACTCCGGCTGTGGGAAGGTGTCCATTCTCATTATTCAGCCTTCAACGCAACTTGTGATGAACGAAATCCAATCGTGGTCTACTGCTGCTGCATAGTTTGCATACAATGCTATTACTTTTACATTGTTTCTAATGAATGCTTACAATTTACTGTGCAGGAAGAACACCAGAAAAGGGGACCGGAAAAGAAACATTAATTCGCAAGGTTCCTCTCCTCAGAAACGTTTCTGAAAATGTTGTTAACGTACGTTAAGTATTCACTTGGGCATGCACTGTTCTTCGCTCTCTCGGAAGCCGGGATCGTGGGTTCGAATCCCACTCAGGGCATGGATGTTTGTGTGCGTTTTTCTGTGTTTGTGTACAGGTAGAGGCCTTGCGACGAGCTGATCACCCGCCCAAGGAGTCCTACCGAATGTGTAAGATCTAGAAAAACCGAAGTGAACGGAGTTCATGGAGGTAGGCCTAGGCCCACTGGGGCTGCAGTGCCAAGGGGAAAAAAAGTATTTACTTGAGGCCTCACATACAGGAATATACAGCTCAGAACTGATGAGGGACACAATTTATATATAATATACATTCATGTATAAGCTGAACTACCTTTCGTCACGAAGAATGCCGTCTTCTGGGGTATGGCGCCATGTAGATACTGTGTAAACCAGCGTTTCGGTGGAACGTATCCCCTCAATCTTCAGGGTGTAAAAATCCGCGAACGAGGAATCAGCGCGAGTAAGTGTCTCGAGTTTGCAGTTACCCCG